TTATTAATGGATGTTTGCATCTGCTTCTTCTCATTTTGAGTATTCCCAGTCGGCAAATGAAGATCTCCCAAGCTTTTTCCCACCCACATCATTAAAGTCAATTTTACTTTGAGGAGCACCTCTTCTGCAGTCATATTTTGAGTGCTTTCCAACCTGAAGGGCTCTTTTTCTAGCATGGTATCACACAATGTCCTGTTCCTATTCATAAGATCATCCCTGTCCACTTTCTTTAGAAATCAATTGCCAGATCTCTTTTCCTAGTCTCTTAGTCTGGAAGCTGCACTGAGACCTGCCCGCTGTGGGTACCCTCCTGGTATTTGGCGTAGCTTTCGGTATCATAGCAACAAAGAAACCAGTGTGACAAACACAGTACGACAAACTAACAGACAAATGATGGAATCTACAATTACCTTCTAGTTAATAATACCATTCTGGTTATTTTCATGTCCAACTTAGAGTTTGTGTATTTAAAGAGCATGAGAATTAAAAGGAATAGGTAGAACTGCTTTCCACTGTGATGTGGGTAGCATGTTCACCAGCACTGGCAGGAGCAGCAAAAACAGAAGCCACAGATAGCGCTTCAAGAGTAAATTTTTGATTGCTCCAACAAAAGAGTGTTTAGGCAGATTAATTTAGAATAGAATAAACAAGAAATTCTAAAATATTTACCAAAAAAGAGGCAAATAGCAGTATAAACTATCACCATGGTAATTTTTATTTTTAAATAACTTTTAATAAATTTCTGTCTATGCCAGGTACTTTGCTCTAGGAAGTTTAGAAATGCTTCAACGTTAGTATTAGTCATTAATTTCCTTGAAATATTGTTATGGTTTAGGCTTGAATTGGAACCTATGTTCACTAACCATAAATTACTCATTAGAAAGAAGCAAATATACGCTTATGGGTCCTCAAAGTTATAGGAGAAGACCCTGCTTAAACTCTACTTGTTTTAGAGAGTTGCCTCAAAAGCTGATATATTGAAAACTCCCCCAATTCTATAATTCCTTTTATTCCAAAATGTATCATTTCTTCCTGAACTGCTTTTAGTGAATTATATTTCTGCTAGAGTTGCAGTGTCTAATTATGGCTCTTAAAAGCACAAAATATACAAATTGAAAGCAAAGCATTAAAAAATTTAGAGCAACAGTGATTTTTCCAATCCATTGATTAACCCTGTACTATACATGGGGTCAGGATTGGTAATTGCTAATTGTTCATAATTTCTACCTTAATGTAAATGATAATTAAAATTACCTTGTGTTTAAAAAGACTAAGGTGTTTCCTGATTCACATATGCTTAAGAAATTCTCAGCCTCATAAAATGAGAGTAATTTCAGTCCTGCCCAGGTAGCCTTGGAACCTTGCCATAGAAATTGAAGTCTGTATTGCTGTTCTTAGTGAAAGAGATCAAAGTGTGTCACTTTCTACTAACAGATCCTCTGGTACACTGGAGAGAATTTTATCAGATAGCTCTGCTGTTGTCCCTTTGTCCATTCCTAAAATTAGGTAAATCCTGAAAAGAAGTTTGCTGCACTTGAGAAAGTTACACACGTAGCATGTACTTAAAATGACTGGAGTACTTTCATTATTGAATTGTCTATCAGATTCTGAGGAGCTCTGGTAGCATAGTGCCTAAGGCACCTGACTGCTAACCAGAAGGCTGGTGGTTTAAACCCACCAGCCACTCCTCAGAAGGAAGGTTGGGCAATCTACTTCTGTAGTGATACCACCTCGGAAACCCAAGGAGGGGTCACTGTGAGCCGGATTCTGACTCGATGGCACATAACAACATCAGATTCTGCATGTCTTAAAAGTGCAAACTCTGTTTTATTTCTGTATCCATTACATAGTACCTTTGTTTTGCTCATAGTTAATTTGTTAAGCCACAAATCATGGGTAGGTATGAACTTTGGATATATATTGGTTAATCAGATTTGATTGCCCCAAGTTGTACGAACAATTCAAGTGTGTGGCTGCTTACCCCAAGGTTGGAGGTTTGTGGACATGCAGAGGTGCCTCAGAAGAAAGGTTTGGCACTCTGCATCTGCACAGTCAGCCATTGAAGACCCTGTGGAGCACAGTTCTACTCTGACATACGTGGAATTACCATGGGTTGGAAGTAGCAACTGGTCTGGTGTCAGATTAGGGAATAATCAATAGTTTATTCTACTTTTATTGGTGGGGTTTTGAAATTATATTCTGGATACAACAGGAATTTAATCTGTCAGTTGTCTGGTTTCATTCACTATTTTATCCCTAGCAACTATGCTTGTCACATAGTAAGTACATAAATATTAGTTGAATGGATGAATTTCTAATACTAAGCTCCACGATCTCTATTTGCTCTCTTTCTCCTACATTCCCAGATAACAGTTCTATCTACTTCGTACATATTTGAACATATTTGGTTTCTTCTGATTTATAGCCTTTGCTGTCTTGTAGTTTCTCCATGTTCATTTCTGTTTACCTTCTTTTTAATGACATTACATTGTATGCAGATTGTATCTCTCTTACTCAAAATGATTATATAGGCTGCTCACCCTCTAGTAAGGCTCACCACCTCATACTACAATAATCAGGCTTCTTTGGCTCTTTGGGCCAGAGTCTAGCCCTGGTCATTAATTGTGGTGAGCTAAAAAGGTCATAGGGTATAAAATGTGGTCTTGGTCTTGCTCCTTAGGGGAATATGTTTATGGCAGACACTTAGAATATCTTTCATATAATAATAAATTAGGATCTGCTTGGAATTCAGTCATGTTCCAGGCTAGATTCTGAGCTATGGGAGAACACCGTATCTTGCTAGTTAAATGCTATATCCACAGTTCTTGGTGCAGTGCTTGGTACATAGTAGGTCCTGGGAAAGTATTGCCTGAATAAAGCCTGATGAAAGAGGGAATTGTTTGTTCTTAGATGTATCAGGGACACGATGGGAAAGATTAAAGAGTAAGGCAAATATACTTAAACAACTATCCTATAAAATGATGCAATTGCAGTTGGTGGCAAACCACATGAGACTTCTAATTAGGGAAAGCTCAGATCCAGAAAGCCTTTATCTTCTTCATTCTTGCAGTACATAAGAAAGCAATGGGTTATGCAGAACTTGCAATTAGTTAGTGGATTTTGCCATTACAGTAGGAGAGTTTTCCCCAGGATACAAATCCAAGAACTTTTCTTTTTTCTGTGGAATTTGTCACCTTCCTAGAAGTTATTATAGTAATCCTTTAGAAAGGAGGAATGTTCCTAGGAAGGTCATTGGGATCACTGAAAGGTCTGCATTGTATTGGCATGTTTGAATAGAGCTAGAAATTGGGAAGTTTTCCAGATTTTAAATAAAAGGGCGTCTCTAGGGCCAATGTCTCTTTTTCCCACTTCCCTCTCTTCATCATCTACCCCCTCCCCCAATACACACACCCAACAAACACCCATCAAAGATAAGGTGGATTTTTGTCACTGCCAACTATTTTTGACTCAACATAAAAATTGGAAATCGAGAGAATTTTGCATAGTCTTCTTTTGAAGGGCAAGCTAAAGTTCTTTATGGCTTCACGTTTGTGAGTATTAGATTGGATGGTCCCTTTGATTGCTATAGTGGTGCCAGGTACCTACCACTTTACTTTGTGCATAGTAGAGCCTCAGTAAATACTTATTGACTTAAATTATCAGTGTGTGTTAAGAAGGCCATTGCTGCAGGTCATTTGCTATCATTTAGTTTTATTGTCACAGGCTTCACCCTGAAACTGGGAAAACAAACAAATGTTTGCCATCTTGACTCCAGCTGAATAGGGAAAGAAAAACAAAAATAACATGCTACTGTTGAGTTGATTCCAAACCATGACATCCCCATTTTTGTCAGAGTAATTGCTCCATAGGTTTTTCATGGCTATCATCTTTATGGAAACAAATCACCAGCCCTTTCTCCTACGGTGCCACTGGGTAAGTTAGAATTGCCAACATTTAGAGACCATGGAGAGATGATTTGGAGATAATATAGAGAAATGCACACAAACTCCCAACCATAACTGGAAAATATTTGGCAGTCAGTTTTCTCCATAATAGTAAAGTCAGGATGATACACTGTTTAAATATTGTGTATTGGAATCATCCAGACTTGGGTTAGAACTGTGGTTCTGACACATTGCTATGTGTAAACCTTAGTGTCTCTATGTAACTTTAGTGTCTCAACCCCTCCTTTGGTTTCTGAGGTGGTATCTCTACGAAAGTAGATTGCCCAATCTTCCTTCCAAGGAGTGGCTAGTGGGTTTGAATCACCAGCCTTCTGGTTAGCAGTCAAATGCTTTAGGTACTATGCCATCAGAGCTCCCCAACTATAAAATAGAGAAAATAATATTACTGTTTGAGGGGGGTAGTAATAGCATTTCAATGAGGTATAATGTACTGGAAGCTCCTGGCACAGGACCTAGCACAAAATAAGCACTTAATAACATTTAGGTATTATTGTTGTCATTAAGACTGTTCTTTTGAAAAATGTACTTCTTTTGGACAATATTGGATGGTATCAAATATTTATTACAATATAAATGAGATCAATCTTTTTACACACACACACACACACACACACATATATATATATATGTAACAGAAACTCAGTAATGTAGTTTTACACACTAACATTTAGGAAGGGGAGAAATACAGTTCACATTATTGTAATTTGCAAACTGACCACAAGCAAACTTATAGGTAACAATGCCTCCTTCCAGAGGTAAAGAAAGAAAAGCATCTTGATCTGTAAGTTTAAAATATTTTCTGCTTAGTAGTTTCAGAAATTCCTTAAGGTGTTTCTAGGGAGATATTCCATAGATGATACATAGAAAGAATTGAGTAACTTTCTCTTGGTGGTAGGATTTCTGGTGATAATAACTTTTTTTTTCTTTAACTTTTTACTGTGCAAACATGATTATGAAAAAAAAAATACTGATAAATTGAACTCATGTCTGAGAGACACTGACACAGTCTCTTATTTGTCCTTCATGTCCATATAGGTGAGACAGGCATTGGCAAATCCACATTAATGGACACTTTATTCAACACCAAATTTGAAAGTGACCCAGCTACTCACAATGAACCAGGTGTCCGGTTAAAAGCCAGAAGTTATGAGCTTCAGGAAAGCAATGTACGGCTGAAGTTAACCATCGTTGACACCGTGGGATTTGGAGACCAGATAAATAAAGATGACAGGTACGTCCTGGGATTTTGTGGGGCTTTAAATGGGTGAGGAGATAGCAGAATCCACCCTGGTTAAATTCAAAGGCTAAATATTTTGGTGCTCAGTGGTTATGGGACTTGTTCCTATATAGCCTAAAGACTATAACATTCTTGTCCTGAGAAATCTTCTTGGAATGTTCTTCCTTAAGATCAGAATCAGCCAACACAGTCTCTTTCAGCTAGTTTGAGCAGAAAAGGGATGGTTAGAAGGGATGTTTGCTTATAGCATTTTTTTAAGAGGTCATGGAACAAGATTTGAGGCCTTTCCCCACCAGGAAAAGCAATCCAGAAAGACATCAAATCACTCCACAAGACAGTTTCAGCAGAAACCCCTGCCACCAGTTACCTCATACTGCTTGGTGACACTTCGGAGAAGTCTCTAGAACTGCCTCCAAATCTGTTCCAGAAATGCCTTCACCATTGCTTGCAAGAACCTTCTCTTTACTGTGTGTGGCCTCTGCCTTGTATTACTCACTCCTTGCTTCCAGGTCTTGTGTGGCTACATCTTTTTGGCAGAAACTAGGCTACATCCTGAATACTAGTTGCAAGGGTATAGGAAATGTGATTTTCATTTTTCTCACTTTACATAATAAGAGAAATAAATAGAAAAAGGAGTTTGGACTGGTAATATGTTCCACTCACTTAGTCCCAGAGGCAGATTAGGATATTTGACTTAATTCCAAAATTTTTACGGATTTGAATGAAAGAGTGATTTTGTATAGGAAGCCACAGCCCAGGAACTAGAAGACCCAGTTTGTACTCTGGGTTCTGCCAGTGACAAATTATAGGACCTTGGCAATTTATTTAACTTCAGAAGAATTACATGAGATGTTCTGTAAGCTCTTTTCCAATGTGATACTTTGAACAGTCCTATTCATCTTTGGAGACCTAGGTAAGGACATTGTGAAAGTCTAGGCCTGGAAGACTTGTGTGGTTGTAATAGGGAATTATCCTGTATTTGGATAGTTTTTGCCAAAAGTGATGTTAGCTCCTCAAGTCCCAAAGTGAAAAAAGCATTTTTATGGAAGATCTATTAGAAAAATCTAAATTTCTAGGTGACAGGTCTGAATATTGCTGTTAGTGTTGTGGTGTGAAATACTGTGAGGTGCTTGTGTAGTGTACCGCCTTTAGGCAGTTCAAAGTTGAACAGCACGTCAACTCAAGTCTGAATAATGAACATGATTTCAGTCAAACCTGATCAGGAATTCAGGTCGATTTGGATTAAAGTTTCTCTTTCTATGCAGAAAAGGTTTGTTAGGATAATTAGGTATCAGATACAATAAAATTCTTTGCATATGTGAAAGAAAAGGCACATTTAACCTACTTAAGAAATAAAATATTTTTTAAGAACTTTGCTACTGTAGTTTGTGTGTTAGATAAAGGTTGCTATCTGCAAATTTATGTTATATATTCATTCATTAAAATTAAAGAAATATAATTTTGAAATAATGTAGTGAGATTTTATTTTTATAAAATACATACATACCCAATTTATAAAACTAAGTAAGTTTGACTCTTCACTGTGAATTAGCAGCTTCCCTCAAATAAGGGCATATTCTGTTTTCACAAATTTTTAAGGAACAACAGCTTCCCTCAAATAAGGGTCATTACACAGTCAGATAATACACTCACATCCAGGCCTATTCTTCATCTCTCAGACCTTAAAGATTTCTCCCTGAGGTTAGATAATGTCATGCTTGTGCACTCCCTGACTGCAAGGCAGCAACTGGAATCTGTCAGCATCCCTTCCTGCAGGTACAAGAGTGGTCCTTATTTGAGGGCAGCTGCTGTTCCTTCAAATTTGTTGGTTTATAACCCATATGTTAATCTCAGTCTCAAGATCTCTTTCTCAAGATCACCCATTCTATTCATGAATCTCAACCTCAGATGTCTTGTGGCCATTATAAATATTAAGCTCATCCTCTAAAGAAGTGTGAGAAAGTTAAAATAAAACTGGCCTAGGCCCAGAGACAATTCCAGAAGGGGACATCCAGAGACATTCTTGAGCAGTGACAACATTTTTGGAATAAGTGCCTAGCCTCTTAGAGTGACCAATTTGTAATAGTAAACGCCACATCAGTAAGTTATTATATGTTTGCTTAAATCTTCTGCCACCAAGTCTGTTCCGACTCATAGCAATGCTATGAGGAGAGTAGAACTGCTCCATGGCATTTCCAAGGCTATAAATCTTGTTTGTTTGTTTGTTTTTTAAATATTATTGTGCTTTGGGTGCAGATTTATAGAGCAAAATTTGTTTTACACTCAACAGTTCATGTACATGTGATTTCACGCCCCAGTTACCATCCCTGACCATAACAAACTCTCCTCCCCTCCTGTCCCCGTGACCACCCCCTCCCTGTGACCTTCTTAACTATGCACTTCTGTCTGTCCATCTTTTCCTCTATATGAATGCTGTCCCTCTGGTGCCCTATGGCCGATTGCTCTAAGGGATGGATCTCCATAGAGTAGGTGGGTGCATCGCCCTGGGGTAGGTGTTCTGCGTGTAGGTCTTTCAACTGTTGGGCTGAGAGCCAATCCATGGAAGTGAGTCCAATTCTAGGCCTGAAGGGTGACCCAGGGCCATAGTCTTGGGAGCTCCACCAGTCTCAGTCAATCAGTAATTGTGGTCATTTTTGTGTCTTATTCCACATTTTTCCTCCCACTCTATCCATGATCTCCAGATTTGATCCCTTTCCGAGTAGTTGACATTGGTAGCTGGGTACCGTAAAGGCTGTAAATCTTCACAGATGCAGACTGCCTCATCTTTCTCCCCTGAAACAGCTGGTGGGTTTGAACCACTGACCTTCTGATTAGCAGTTGAATGTTTGCTTAAGACTTGGAAATTTCATTAGTACTAGAGGATTTATTTTATTTTTTAAATTGTGATATATATAAAACATTTGCCCATTCAATGATTCTTATATGTTCAATGCAGTAACATAGGTTATGTTCACATGTTGTATAATCATCATCACTATGGGTTTTCAAATTATCCCACCATTTTTAACACAATTTCCCTGCCCACTAAACAGTGACTCTCCCTTTCCTTCTCTCTCCTACCCTTGGTGTCCCCCCAACAACAAAACACATACACACACGTGTATATTATATATATTTTGTAAAGAGAAACTTGGACTGTTTTTATCTAGAAGTGTGTCTTGCCTATAGTTTACTTTACTGTAGCTACTATCCCTGATATAAACATGAGCACCATAGTAATGATCAAGAAATAATTAATTGTCTTGCTGAGCATCAAGCTCTTTATTTTATCTACAGAGCACTGGAAATGCCTTTCAATACACATTGTCCTGTAATAACAGGAGAAATTGTTAGATATAGTGAGAAAGATTTTATTTTGCATCTGGCCCAATGGACTATCTGTATATTTGTGTTGGGACAGAGGGCAGCTAAGCGCTGACCCTGCAGCTGAGCAGTTGTTCTTAATTTATGAGCAGTGCAAAGGAGTGATGGAGAGGTTCCTGCCTGATGGCTGCTTAAGATGCCAAGTGAAATAAATGACGATAAAGCCCTAGAGAAAAAAAAGAGTGCACCTGTGCATTGTGGGGGCCAGGAAAAGAGCTGGGGCTCCCGGTCATTACACAGTCATATAATACACTCACATCAAGGCCTATTCTTCATCTCTCAGACCTTAAAGATTTCTTCCTGAGGTTAGATAATGTCATGTTTGTGCACTCCCTGAATGGAAGGCAGCAACTGGGATCTATCAGCATCCCTTCCTACAGGTACAAGAACTACCCTTCGGTATCTTGCTGCTAAGTTTGCATGTGCTGTTCCAGCTCAAAGTTATTGCCTCAGTGCTGACACTAAATTTTTGCCCTGCCCCTAAACTGGGACTTTCCCTCAGGTGGGTTTTCATGCACCAGCACTAAGCAGCAAATGGCTACTACAATGTGGATCCTCATATTTGCAGCTGGAGGCCTCTTTAAGAAATTATCTGACTCATTTGGGTCAAATAATAGTTTCCAAGGAGATTTAGAAGAGAGGAAGTGTAATATTAACCTAACCTAGATACCAATTTTTTTTTTCCTCTGAAATTTCTTGACAGCTGTTGCATAACCTCTTTAAATGGCATTTTGAAATTCTGTTACCCTGTGCCTCAGAAGGCATTGTTGACACTGTTGATTCTAAACCCAAATGACTATTGCTTAAAAATAGTCATTCAGTCTCTGCTTCCATCAAAAAATTGGAAGTGGGATATGCATTTTTGCATCAGTATGTAATCATATGGGAAAGGATGTGCTGTTTTCCTAAACCCATGATTATTTTTACCTACTTTGGGGATTAGGCAGGCTTTTCTACCATGAATGCAAGACTTCAAGAATGTCCCAGTTTGTTTATGTAGGCTTTGGACATGTCAGCATTCCTGCATCCTTATCTGCCTCTGACCAGGCTGGCTAGAAGGAGTCAGGAAGAGAGATGTGGTAAGGTTTCCTGTTACGTTTAATAGCATATTTAACTCTTTGTTGTTTATGGGCTTCCTTGTTTGGGCTGTCTGTTACTCTTTAGAGAAGAAGGAAAGGGATCTAGAAAAGAAAGGGAACCAAGTTTTGCTGTCAAAGCGGAAATAGAATCATCTTTAGTTTCCTTAACAGAAGATAGATTCTCAATGACAGATCACTGACTATAATGGTCACCAGCTTTGAAAAGCATGGATAACTGAAATCCTCTGAGAGATAATCCTCAGGCTTGTTAAATGTATATCAGGTTAATAAAATAGTAGTGAAGAGGCTATTTGGTCTTTAAATTCTAAATTTTTATCACATTTTCTAGTAGAGATGATCAAAGGTTAAGAACATTGACTTCAGCTAACAGTAGGTTAAAGAAAAACATATGATAGATATTGTTGTTGTTGTTGTTGTTATTCGCCATCAAGTCGGCCCCAACTCATAGCCACCCCTCCTTGGGTTACCGAGGCATTATCACTACGGAAGTAGGATTGCCCAACCTTCCTTCCGAGGAGTGGCTGGTGGGTGGGATATTGTTGTTAGCTGCCTTCAAATTAGCCTGAAATTCATGGTGATTCAGTGTGTTACAGAGTAGAACTGCTCCATAGGGTTCTCTTGGATGTAATCTTTATGAAAGCAGATTCCCAGGCCTTTTCTTCTGTTTGCTGCTGGGTATGATCCAACTGCTAATCTTTTGATTAGCAACTAATCACAAACCTAGGTAACTGTGTATAAATGGAGTCAGTCCCCAAATATTGCTATTTTGCAATAATGATTAATGGGTAAGTTGTATGCATAGATAACATTGTATAAAATATTTCCCCCCTAATTTTAACTTTCTCTGGTGTACCTTCCATCAGTTTTAGAGTCAACCTCTGTCCTTTTGTTGCTGCTTTTTTCACTCATATGAAAAAAATGAGTAGCTGGGTAAAAAGGAACATCCTCATGCCTTAAAAGGAAAATATGTGAAAGTTTAAGGGCCAGATTCGATTTGTCCTCCACCCCACTCCTTCCTCTGTATTACATCATTACAATCCAGATAATTTTAAATTGGCCACACTGAATTTAAATAAGTGTCCTTTCTATAGGGATAGAAACTATCAAAGGGAAAGTTAGGATTAAGCTTTCTTATCTTTATGACTGTGAATGTAGATTAAAAAAAGTGGAAAGGAGTTAGAGAAAGGGGCAGAGAATTTGTTTGAAAAACTATGAAAGAGAATACAAAACCAGTTGGCTGGCTTGTTGTTTAGAAGCATAATTAAATCTTTGATATAGGCAACATTGATTTTTAGGAATGGTGCTCCATGAATACATTTATTTGTTTATACTGGTATAGAAGATAAAATAGGATTTTGTGCTTAGTTGTATGTGGGAGGGAAGAGAGAAGGAGGCTTCTAGGTTGGATCCCAGCTTTCTGACTTGGCCAGTGGTGTGGGTTAGAGGTACTATTCATCATGTTAAGGAATATAGGGGAAGGTGGGGGCAAGATGAGGTCAATTTTGGACTCTAACTTTAGTTACAGAAGCAAGTAGAAATATTTAGTAAGCAGTTGGATGATGGGTCTGAAGCTCAGATAAAAGATCAAGGCTGGAGGTAGAGATAAGTGAAATGTCCTCAGTTAGATGGTAATTGAAACATAGAAAGAGGTACAGTTTTGTTGGGAGACCACATAGAGTAAAATAAGAGAGATTAAAAAATTGGCTAGGACTCCCTAAAAGGGGCAGACAGAAGGAGACCTGAGATACAAGAGGAGAACAAAGGATTTCTTTGGATATATTGAATTCAGGGCAGAAAACATTCCTTGCTAGAAAAGGAGATGTGTTATACCTCCCAAAATGTGAAGAAGATCTGTTAAAATTGGAGCTGAGGGAAATTAATAGTTTTAAAAAGAAACTATTTCATCAACATAATTAAGTCTTTGATATAGAGAATAGAGATTTTTGTAAATTGTTCTTCAAGAATACGTATAAGTGGTCTAGGAAATAGACTTGGACTAATGATGAGAGGAGTTGTTGAGAAGCTAAAAATCAGAAACTGGGGAGAGAGGAAGGAACCAGTGACTGTGAGCTTTTTTTCCCCACTTGGGGCTAAGTGGGTGTTTGGGATGCTTTGTTGTACAAAGGCACATCCACTTTTATCCCCCAAACACCTGCCATAGAATGAAGGGACTGTATGATCAGCCCCGTACTGAAGGGGCATGGATGGACTTCATGCAAGTGGCCTAGTCCACTGCCCTACAGGGCACGAGCTCAGTAGTAGAACAGTTACCATGGAATTGGTGAGGGTATAGTTCCCTTTTTCAGTGTTTTTAAAAAGTCAGCCTTACTTTTGTTCACAATATGTATTATTTGTTATGATTGTTTTGTGCCAGTGCTTTATACACATTAATTCAATTATTTGTCACAACAGCTCTCTGATATAAGTACCTTTTTTGCCTATAAGGAAATTGAGACACAGAGAGGTTTAGTAACTTGCTTAAGGGCATTCAGCTAGTAAGTTGTGGAGCTGGGTTTTGGTCCTGGGAACTCTGTCTTGAATTCCTGTTTCTAACCATCATCTTTTTACCATAATAATAATTGTAATTATGTAATACATGCCATTATTTTCAAATTGGAAAATGTAAAATCTTACCACTCCTTCACTTTTTTAATTAAAATTTTCCTGTTATGATACAGAACTTTATTATTACAGAGGAACATTTTATTTTTCTTTTAAACCTCTACAGATTTTGTCTGCTCAAATTGAACCAATGTGTTGTGATAAATTACCAAAGAAAAATATCATCAGAAAGCTTTTTCCTGACTACTCTTAGTTTGGGTCATATTTTTATCTTCTTCTCTCTGTTAGAATTTCTGCTGTTGCAAAAGAGTTGTAACTCCCTTTCAAGAATCTTGGTTTATTTTATGAGTCTTGGTTTTTATGAATGGTTTTTATTTTTCTTAAAGTTTAAATCATTCTTCAGCAATGTAGTAAATTTCCAGGGGGAAGAATTAACCCCTGTATTCCTAAAAGACCAAGCTCATTGCTGCTGAAACTAGCTTCTCCTGAGTATCCCCTTGAAAGCCTGACAGAGTTAATGGGTTTTGACAGTGACCGAATTTACTACTTACCCCCTGGAGAACATGTGGTTTGTTGACTATATATTCCCAATATGCTATTAATGATTATGTTTATGGTAAGTTAATAGAATCATTCATAATTATCCAAAACAGATTTGAATTAGGATTTGGTTAGGAGAAGAAAGGTTATAACATTTACCTTTAAATCATAAGATTTTAGAGTTGAAGGAATCCTGAAGATCATAAAAATCCAAACACTTCATTTTATAGATGAGTTACGGAATGTGCACAGAGATTTATGGGAGCACAGAGAACTTCTCATCTCTAACTGGGGATGGGGAAAGGAATTACAGAGAAAAACTCCTGTTGGGAGGTTGTTTTGGTTACCTGGTGCCACTCTGCCAAGTATATACCACAGATGGGATGACTGGAACAAACAGGAGTTTATTCTGTTATAGTTTTGGAGGCTAGAAGTCTGAGTTCAGAGTGCTGGGGTCTAGGGACTTGGGTCAAGCCCACTGAAGCTGGAGGCTTTCTTCACTCAGGCAGCTGCTGGCTGCTGAGGCTGACAAACCCAGGGTTGACAGTAAAAAGGCATAGTCCTGATGTTACCAAACTACACGGCAGGCCATTAATTCAAGTCCATTGAAAGTCCCAACATTGGCAGAGCATGGCAGGCTACTGAATGAAGACTTGGCTACATGCAGGGTTCAAGCATGCCAAAAAGCTAGAGACCTTCTTCAAAGCTGCTGCTTATATACTAGAAGCAGACCACATCTCTAAAGCAGCAACTAAGCTGCTTGTGGTAGATTCCACTATGGAGTTGATTGCCAGTCTCATCATGGGGAATAACTAACACTAGCTGCCCAGCCAAGTTGACACACAACCTTAACTATCACAAAGGTGATGCCTTATCTCTCAGATGGTAGGCCAGTTTCATTTTATGCATCTACGTCAGTCAGTTGGTAGAGGCTATCAGAACCACTTTATTGAGAAGAACTTAGAAGCTCAGTTTTCACCTAGCAGGAAATAATGCCATAATTGAATGTCCATAGAGAAAAGGGACAGCATGTATAATGTATAATTTCTGTTTTAAAGAATGAATGTTAGCTAGGAGAATAGTAGGATGAAGGGTATTCTTCCAGGTAAAGGGTTTGGCGTGCACTGAGGTGTGGAGGCAAATAAGAGCTTGGTGTATGTAGGGTGCTACAGTGGTGTAGTTTACTGAGACAAAAAAGTGGGCCAAGAAGGGAGTGGCAGAGATGAGGCTGCAGAGGTATCCAGGGCCCAGATAATGGAGGCCTTGGATGCCTACGTAAGGAATTTGGGCTTTGTCTCTTAAGGAACAGAGAGTCATTGAAGATGTTTAGTGGAGGACCATACTGCACTGAACTGTGAAGAAGTTTGAGACTAGAAACACAGTGATTTGAAAATGTATTTTCAAAAATATTCTTCTACATTCTAGCTATAAGCCAATAGTGGAATATATTGATGCCCAATTTGAGGCCTACCTACAAGAAGAATTGAAGATCAAACGTTCTCTCTTCAATTACCATGACACGAGGATCCATGCATGCCTCTACTTCATAGCCCCAACTGGACACTCGCTGAAGTCCCTGGATCTGGTCACCATGAAAAAGCTGGACAGTAAGGTACTCACTGCTGGCCTGGTTATTATCCACCCTCCTTTTAGGTCACCTTCATCCTAAGGCCCTAATTTATTCTCTGCTTTCAGTATAATTTGTTTTTTTCTGGTTTTCAAAAATCATAGGGTTTAGCAATGTGAGAAAAATGCTTTAAAACTTTTGAATGTTAGGCAAAAAACAAACAAGCCATGTGACTGGTTATAAAGTATTTTTAGTTTTTGAATTAGCACCAGTTTTATTTCTCTCCGATAAGGGTTGGGAAATTATGCATAGGAGATACCTAAGTGGTACCAGAAAGGGTTAAGTTTAGAGATATTGAAATAGAGATTCAAGGGTTTTGTTGTTGTTGTTTGTTTATTTTTAACTTTCTCTAATTCTTTCTTTAAAAGATTTTTAAAGGTTTGGCTTTAATTCAAAGTTTAGAATGATAAAGATTGTTATTTTTTTCCTACGTGATGAGGACAGTCCAGCTTCATGGATTTTAAAACTGAACAGCACACATTTGTTCTAAAGAAGTAAAGTGTTAGTGTCAGTTTGATCCCTAAGCCTTTCATATTTGTAACCTCTCTGTTTTGCAACATTTGAAGAAAGGAACTGATAAAGCAATTTGATAAAATTTGATGCCCTACTTTACAATGCATTTGATTTTCCATTATGGAATAAATGGGCAATGCATTCTAAAATAAAAAAGAAGCAAATGTCAAGAAGAACAACCACAAAACTAAGCTATCGTATTTTTTCTTAGATTCCCTTTTCAGTTCAATGAAAAGGAACTTAACATCTTTAAAGGGCTTTGCTTGGAGTCTTATTTTGTCGTGTGACAAAACAGTGAGAAGGATGCTCTGAAGATCAGCCTGTCCTGTAGACCTCTGTCTGAACCGGCCACAAAGAGGCCTGGAGTGGCTGAGGCAGAGCCAGGCTCCTTGAGTTTCCACCATGCACAGAAGCACTGGTTTACAGCAACATTTATTAATGGCCTGAAAGGATCGATGCAGCTAGAGTACTCTTCGGAGAATAAATAGAAAGAAACCTTTTTCCCCAGTTGACTCAGCTGCAATTCAGACTCCAGGGACTGCACTGTTCATAGGGGAGAATTCACCAGCTGTGAGCCTGTTCCTTGTGCTATCACGTCCTTGAAAGCTGCAGCTTTTCTCCCCTTCTGTCTCCCTATTTACTGGATTACCCAGTTTTCCACAAGTATTCTTTTTCTGTTTTTACTTGTGTCCAAAGATTCCAATTTACTGATTTTTCAGTTTTTAATTTTAAGATTATATGATTATTTAGGATCTTTCTTAGAAGAGGCTCTCTAAAATACAAGCTTTACAAGGGCAAAATAAGATTTGCCTAGAAAACTAGAATACATGCATACATACATACATACATACTAGTTCTTGTAGTTAAGCAAGAGTAGTATTATTACAAAATGACTTCAGCTTTGTATTTTATGTACTTTGCATTAATGGAATTTTTCACAAGATGCATGAATTACTTTACAATAGAAAAATATTAGATAAAAAGTGTTTTGCTTTAAAAAAAAAGTTTAAAGTACATTTGTGAGCAAGTAACTTAAACATGTTATAAATACCCACAAGTATTCTAAAGGAAGTGAAGTGAGATGGCTTCCTAACTGGCCACTGAGTATGTTGACTAAGCCAGGATAATATCCAGCAATATACTTATGTATGTTGTCCTTGTTGTTGGGTGCCATTGAGTCCATTTCAACTCATAGCAATCCTGTGTACAACAGAATGAAACACTGCCTGGTCCTGGGCCACCTTCACAGTCTTTGCTGTTGGAGCCCATTGTTGTAGCTTCTGTGTCAATCTGTCTTGTTGAGAGTCTTCTGCTTTCTGCCTGACCCTCCACTTTGCCAAGCATTCTAGGGACTGGTTACTCCTGGTAAGGTGTCCAAAGTACATGAGAGGAAGTCTTGCCATTCTTATTTCTAAGGAGCATTCTGGCAGTACTTGTTCCAAGACAGATTTGTTTGTTCTTCTAGCAGTTCATGGTATATTCAGTATTCTTTGCCAACACCATAATTCAAAGGCATCAATTCTTCTTCAGTCTTCCTTATTTGTTGTCCAGCTTTCACTTTCAAATAAGGCAATTGAAAATACCATGGCTCGGCCAGGCATACCTTACTCCTCAAAGTGACATCTTTGGTTTTTATCACTTGATGGAGGTCTTTTGCAGCATATTTGCCCAATGCAGTATGTTGTTTGATTTCTTGACTGCTGCTTGCATGGGCATTGATTGTGGAGCCAAGTAATAGGAAATCTTTGAAAGCTTCAATATTTATTTATTTGTTTGTTTGCTTCTTATGCTGTTGCTTATTGGTCCATTTGTGAGGATTTTTGTTTTCTTTATGTTGAGGTAAAATCCATACTGAAGGCTGTAGTCTTTGATCTTCCTCTGTAAGTGTTTTAGGTCCTCTTCACTCTCAGCAAGCAAGGCTGTGTCATCTGTATGTCGCAGATTGTTGTTGAGTCTTCCTCTAATCCTGATACATTCTTCATATAGTCTAGCTTCTCAGATTATTTTCTCAGCATACAGATTGAATAAATATGGTGAAAGGATAGAATTCTGATGCACACCATTCATGATTTTAAACCATATAATACATTCTTGTTCTGTTCAAGCCACTGCCTCTTGGTCTATGTATAGGTTCTGTATGAGCACAGTTAAGTGTTCCGGAATTCTCATTCTTCATAATGTTACCTGTAATTTGCACAGTTAATTGCCTTTGCATAGTCAGTAAAACACAAGCAAACATTTCTCAATATTCTCTTCTTTCAGCCAAGATCCATCTGACATCAGTAATGATATCACTTATTCCATATCCCCTTCTGAATCCAGCTTGAATTTCTGGCAGTTCAATGTACTGCTCTTTGAATTAACTTCAGGAAAATTTTACTTACATGTGATATTAATGATATTGTTTGATAATTTCCACATTCTGTTGGCTTACCTTTCTTTGAAATGGGCACTGGATCTCTTCCAGCCAGTTAACCAGGTAGCTGTCTTCCAAATTTCTTGGCATAGACAAGTGAGTACTTCCAGCATTGCTTCTGTTTGTTGAAACATCTCAGTTGTTATTCTGTCAATTCCTGGAGCCACGTTTTTCACCAATGCCTTCAGTGCAGCTTGGACTTCTTCCTTTAGTGCCATTGGTTCTTGATCCCGTGTTTGTTTGAAATGGTTGAACGTTGGCCAGTTCTTTTTGATACAGTGACTCTGCACATTCCTTCCATCTTCTTTTGATTCTTCCTGCATCATTCAATATTTTGTTCATGTTGTTGTTGTTGTTATGTGAGGTTGAATCGGACCCGACTCACAGCGACCCCTCCTTGGGTTTCTAAGGCAGTATCACTATGGACGTACATTGCCCCATCTTCCTTCCGAGGAGTGGCTGGTGGGTTTGAACTGCCAGCCTTCTGGTTAACAGTCAAGTGTTTTAGCCATTATGCTACCAGAGCTCCCATTTTGTTCATAGATTCCTTTAATATTACAATTTGAGGCTTCAGGTTTTTTTCTTATGTTCTTTCAGCTTGAGAAATGCCTAGCATGTTCTTCTCTTTTAGTTTTCTAGCTCCAGTCTTTGCACCAAAACCAAAACCAAACCCACTGCCATAGAGTCAGATCCAATTCACAGCAACCCCTCCTTGGTTTGCAAGGCAGTAGCTCTACAGAAGTAGATTGCCCAATCTTCTTCTGAGAAGTGGCTGGTGGGTTTGAACCTCCAGCCTTCTGGTTAGCAGTCAAATGCCTTAGGCACTACGCCCCCAGAGTTCCCAGTCTTCGCACATTTCACTATAATACTTTGTCTTCTTGAGTCATCCTTTGAAATCTTGTGTTAACATCTTTTATTCATCATTTCTTCCATTCACTTAAGCTAGTTTATGTTCAAGAACAAGTTTCAGAATCTGTTCTGACATCCATTTTGTTCTTTTCTTTCTTTCCTGTCTCTTTAAGGGCTTTTTGCTTCCTTCATGTATGATGTCCTCATCTCATCTTTGGTCACTAGTGTTCAGTGTGTCAAATGAATTCTTGAGATGGTCTCTAAATTCAGATGGGATATATTCACGTTCATACTTTAGCTACCATAGCCTTGTTTTAATTTTCTTCAGCTTCAACTTGAACTTGCATATGAACAATTGATGATCTATTCCAGAGTTTTGATTGATGATATTGAGCTTCTCTTCTTCTCTTTCCATAAATGTAGTCAGTTTAACTCCTGTGTGTTCATCTGGCAAGGTCCATGTGTATAGTCACAATTTAAGTTGTTGAAAGCGATATTTCCAATGAATAGGTCATTGGTCTTGCAAAATTCTATCATGCGATCTCTAACAACCACAGTCATATTTTCCACCTACTGATTCTTCTTCTTTGTTTCCAACTTTTACATTCCAGTCACCAGTAATTTTTAATGTATCTTTTATGTTTGATCAACTTCAGACTGCGGAAGTTGGTAAAAAATCTTCAATTTCTTCATCTTTGGCATTTGTGGTTGGTGCGTAAATTTGAATAATGGTTGTATTAACTAGTCTTCTTTGTCGGTATATGGATATTATTCTGTCACTGACAGGGTACTTTAGAATAGATCTTGCAATGTTCTTATTGAAATGAATGTGATCCCATTCCTCTTCAATTTTTCATTCCTGAGATAGTAGACAGATATTATGATTGTCCAATTCCAAATGGCCGATACCAGTCCATGTCAGTTCACTAATCCCTCAGAAATCTATCTTCAAACTTTCCATTTCATTTTTGATAACTTTCAATATTCGTAGATTCATACTTTGTACATTCCACATTCCTATTATTAATGGATGTTTCTTCTCATTTTGCATCATGCCACATCAACAAATTAATGTCCTGAAAATTTTACTCCATCAGCATCATTAAGGTTGACTCTATGTTGAGAAAACAGCTCTTCCCCTGTTGTATTTCAAGTGTTTTCCACCTGCGGGACTCTTCTTCCGGCACTCTCTCAGACAGTGTTCCATTGTTATCCATAAGGCTTTCACTGGCCAGTTTTTTCTGAAGTAGATTGCCAGGTGGGTCCTTCCTAGTGTGTGTTTGTCTGGACACTCCACCGAAACCTGTTCATCATGGTTGACCCCCATGGTATTTGAAATACCAGGAACATAGCTTTTGGCATCACAGCAATATGTGAGCCACAGTATGACAAACTGATAGATGAGTGAGTAATTATGTTTAGTAAGGTTGATTTTTTAAAACAAAAAGAAAAAGTAAAATAAATATAACTAAAAAATACCACAAAATAAGTCAAACTTTCAAAGCACTGATACTTGTAGGGTCAGAGACAAAGTAGAATTTGAACTATTGTCAAGTCTTCTTTTACATGTAAATTGAAGAGTTAAGGCAGATATATGGTAATTTATCAAATCTGATCAATTTAAAAAGTGAGCTTTATCAATTGGCATAACATACTATACAAAACATTGTTCCACCTACTACTTTGGCGAGTAGCGACTGGGACCTTAAAAGCTAGGAAGCTGCCATCTAG